TAGCAAACAACTAAGCAGGTCTAGTAAGTGTGGCAATACAATCCAAGCACAGCATAGCATCACATACTACCAGCAGATGATGCCAGCAGACACCACCACTTGATGCAGCAAAATGCCTCCAATATACTGTACTATGCATATCATCACACCACTACTATTATCATCAGATTCCAGTCACTAAATTATGAATATGAATAATTTTCCAGAAGATTATTTTATAAGGGGAACATCAGGTCTCCTTTTATAATGCATAGATGCACAAAACTGCAGCTGTGTGCTTTGAACATTATAACTAGCATTGTGTTCAATGATATCTGAACCATGTCCATTTATTTTATGCAGAAGAGGAGTCACAATAATGTGGCAGAAATATGTTGACCAAACCACACACTAGAAAGTGAAGGGACGACGACGTCTTGGTCTGTCCTGGACCAGTCTCAAGTCGATTGTGACAATCGACTTGAGAATGGTCCAGGACGGACCGAAACGTCGTCGTCCCTTCACATTCTAGTACTGTATGTGGTTTGGTCAACATTTATTTTATGTTTTTGCCCGAAAAAGCTTGAGTAATAGTGGCTTCATAGATTGTGTAACTCCTGTCCCTACAATTGTACATTACTCTTATGTTCTTTGTACATACATTCTTTTGAATAAACGTTTGTACAGTATTTGTATTTGTGTATGTTTACTGGAGGCCTGAGGAAGCAAATGTGAGACACATGTATGTGTAAGATGTTTAAATTTTGCGAGGTACTCTAAATTATCCCTGTGACTCACGCAGTGTGGTCAGATATGGCGCTGATATGCTTGACATGTGCAACTGAATACTTAATACCATAGTACTTGTTAGGCATCAACAAGGAAAATTTAAAGCAGTACAAATACATAGCATACCTGTTCTTTCCCACAGATGTCCACTTGTAAGAAGAGGTAATGAAAGTTTCTGTGCACCGATGTCTCTCATCTCCTCCTCAATTATTGTGGTCAACTTAGTGAATACTCGCTGGCCAAATGGTAACAAGGCAAACATTCCGCTGCTCCTCGAGTTTATTATTCCATAATCCATCAACAGCTTATAAGAGCAACAGTTGATATCAAAGCATTAGAAAAGATAAGGTAAAAAAATAAGATCATCTGCAGTGTAGGGGTTATACAAATACCTCAGATGAAGACTGGTACAAACACAAATTTAGAGAAATCCAGATATTGCTTTTTATTTTAACTCAAAATCTAACTATATAATAAATTAATAATATACACCTACTATCAGGTTCTTTCTTATACTTGCTTAATCATTAATAAATATTAAAATAATAACCAGGCATCTACAGTATTGTAACTAAAGTGGCACCTCGATTAACGAGTTTAATCCGTTCTGGCACCGAGCTCGTTATATGGAAAACTCGTCTTAAGAAACAAATTGCCCCATTTAAAAGAAAGGAAATAAATTTAATTCGTTCCACTCCCAAAAACACCCATACTTGTATGACTTTTATAATGTAAATATAATACTGCACATGTAATTATAAATGTTTTGTTGTACTGTTTTCATGTTTACTTTACCTTATGAAGTCGTTGCTGGCTTGAGGGAGACGATGGGGAAGGTGGGAAGGAAGAGAGGGGTTATGGTGTGGAAGGAGAATCCATCTCTGAGTCAGGCGGGCTCTCTGTTCTTGGGAATTTCACCCCACTGGGACCGGGTTGTGGTTCACTAACACTGGCTCTTCTTTTCTCTACTTTTGCAGAGAACGTGTCTATTGACAACTGCTGTTGTCTTTGTTTTAGGATGTTCCTAAAATGAGACAGCAAATTGTCATTAAACATGTTCACACACACCAGGTTGTCACTGCTTTATCAGGGGTGATGCTTTTCCAAGAATGCGGTCACCTTTTCAAACATTCCCAACACTTCCCTGATCTCACTGGAAGAGGCAGCATCCTCCTTTACCTCCTCCTCCCCTTACTAATAATGCAAATTGTTGATGAGGACTTGCCATACTCCCTTGTGAGATCAGTCACATGGACACCACGCTCATGCTTTGCTATAATTTCCTTCTTCAAATCCACAGAAATTGTGTCTTTCTTCCTCTTGACAACATTATCTCTAGCAAGCAGCTTCTTTGGCAACATCGTGCATTACAAATTGTAGTCACAAAACCACAAAAAAAAACAAAGAAAAGCGCAAATAAATGCAGAGGGATGCTTGTCGTGTGCGATACAACAACAACACTGGCGTCGGAGGCGTCCGAGAATTTGCGAGAACCCGCAAGACGCTAGGAAGCACCATGTGGTTTTGCTCGTTAATAGAGGTGAAGCTCGTCAATAGAGACAAATTTGCTGCGAGTGGCTCGCTCGTTACTCGAAATGCTCGTAAATAGAGCCGAGGTATTACACCGTGTGTGTGTAATACCTCAGTAGTTCCCTGGTCTCATGGCATGAGGGAGCCGGTCGGCCGAGCGGACAGCACGCTGGACTTGTGATCCTGTGGTCCTGGGTTCGATCCCAGGTGCTGGCGAGAAACATTGGGCAGAGTTTCTTTCACCCTATGCCCCTGTTACTTAGCAGTAAAAATAGGTACCTGGGTGTTAGTCAGCTGTCACGGGCTGCCTCCTGGGGGTGGAGGCCTGGTCGAGGACCGGGCCGCGGGGACACTAAATAGCCCTGAAATCATCTCAAGATAACCTCAAGATGACACCAAAGGGCCATTTTCGAACTTCAGGCTCCTAAGACGTCTTCAAACTTCCATAAGCATTAGCCGTAAAACAATTAACATCCTAAGAAACCCATCATCAACAGCATACTAAAATTCATAATTTCAAATGGTATGTATACTAGCTTTACAACATTGTCCCACATTTTTCTGACCTTTGGCAGCAAGTAGTGCAGTTGTGAAAAAATCCCTAAGCCAACACAAACTGAAAGTCCTACCTACGTACTACAATGGGTGAAAAACTGATTTTCTGGGTTAACTTTACTATCCCCTGGAAGACAGTTGGCTACTGAAGTACAATATAAAAATAAATAACTTTGCTAGAATAAAGCCTAGTTGACAAGAGACTTGTGGTTGTTCATTATGGTACAAAATTTGCAGTTTTGATTTTACTTTTTAAATATAAAATAAGCACATACTAAATAGCACACTGTTTTTATTATGTTTGATTTTATGTCCAATATAGATATGAACACTAAATAATTGTTTATTTTAAATACAATATAAGATACAGTGGTACCTCGGAATACGAGTGTCCCTATATACGAGTTTTTCGGAATACGAGCAGGATTTGCTCGGAAAATTTACATTGGAATATGAGCGTTGCCTTGGAAGACGAGGGTGTTGATACGCGTACAGGCCGACTAGCGCGCTTTTGGCACGGCGATTGCGCCTCAGTTTACCAGTGCCTATCTTGCCTGAATTCTTCACAAGGATTTACAGTTTTTAGACGGATTTTTTGCCATTTAAGCATAAAAGTTGTTATTATATATCTCACCATGGGTCCAAAGAAAGCCAGTGGTAAGGTTCAACCTAAGAAAATAGTAGTGAGTAGAGGCAGTAGAGGAAGTCCCTTCTTCATTAAAAAAATGTGTGAAGTATGAGAAGAACTGCAAAGTTTTGTTGAAAAAACTCACCCAGATAAAGCAGTAGCAAGCCGTTGCATTGACCCTTTAAATGACAATGTGATGGCTTACTACAGACAAGTGTTAAAATGTAGGGAAAAACAAGTGTCTTTAGACAGATTCTAAGTAAGACAAGCAAGTCCTAGTATTATGCAGGCAAAACGTGCCAGAGAGTGCACACCAGTGAAGTCCTCACTGCCTGATGTTATAGTGGAAGGGGACTCCCCTTCCAAACAGTAACACCTCTCCTCTTCCCTCCTCCTCACCATCTTCCATACGCCAACAGCAGTCATCAGAAAGGGTAAGTAATAACTTGAACATACTTTTGTGTGTAGATTTAGATGAATTAGGTATAAAATTTAGTTTGAAGTGTGGTTTTTGGGTAGTCAGGAACCGATTAATTCATTTTCCATTATTTCTTTTGGGGAAATTAGCTGCGGTTTACGAGTTTTCGGATTACGAGCTGTCTCCTATAATGGATTAAAACTCTTAAACCGAGGTAGTCCTGTACTTGTAAACCTATCTTTTTGTGTTTTGATCTTGAGTATTATATAAATATGTATAAAAATTTCAAATTATTTGAAGAAGTGTTAATAATGTTAACTTGTTATCTGAAGTAACAACTTTTGATGTCCTTCTCTCTCATGATGTCAGAACCTGGCTATGCCAATGATCAAGAAATACCTTTATCAGTACACCTATCATAATAAGCCAACAAAAATAAACACAATTCATGAAGGAAATAGGCCTAAACTTAATGGCAGTTATGTACCATGGTGGTATTTTACATTATGGCCACTTTTTCTAGTGGCCATAATGTAAAATCTAATGATTCCCTTCTGTGTAGGGAACAGAACGTTACTAGGGAGCCGGTCAGCCGAGCGGACAGCACGCGGGACTTGTGATCCTGTGGTCCTGGGTTCGATCCCAGGCGCCGGCGAGAATAATGGGCAGAGTTTCTTTCAACCCTATGCCCCTGTTACCTAGCAGTAAAATAGGTACCTGGGTGTTAGTCAGCTATCACGGGCTGCTTCCTGGGGGTGGAGGCCTGGTCGAGGACCGGGCCGCGGGGACACTAAAGCCCCGAAATCATCTCAAGATAACCTCAAGATAGGGTGTGAAAGGGCCTTCCTCCTCCTACCCCACTTGAGATAGCTTTACATTTTGGTACGGTACCATTTATCACTGGACGGCAACATAAATTTTTATTATTTATTAGTCACAGGCTAGCACACAGACCACCACTCTGTAGCAGCCCTATAGTCGGCTTATATAAATGCCAAATTAAACTTTCTTATAAAGCTCTAGCAAAATGTTGTGCATACTATGGCCATTACAAATATTACCAAATATGTTTTTTCATAGTGAAGATCTGTAGTCTGTAACTTTAGGTATATCTACTTATCATTATATTATTTGGTTAGTCCTCTTACCAGACCCCAGAATAAAACATGGTAGCGATTTCTTCATTGACTTTAATCTCAACTTACAATTGGGGAGCCTGGGTTCGATTTCTGAGTGGGACAGAAATGGTTAGGCAAGTTTCCTTTTATGAAATGCCTCTGTTCACCTAGCAGTAAATATGCAACAGTTGTGGGGGTTGCATCCTGGGCACGGTCAGTAGTAGTAGTAGTCAGTAGGTCCCCAATAGATTGGGGACCTCAATATAAACTAAAATATACTGTATATGCAAAAAGAGTTTCTGTTAATGACAACATGAATTTAAATTTTTCTTTTTTTTTTACAACCTAAACTTTGATTATAAGTTTTAATATGTAAACAATAACTTATTACTAGTAAATAATAACTAAATAAGTAAAAATAACTAAATAATAATAATGACAACAATAATATTAAAAATAATTATAATAATAATAATTTTGTCAAGGGACAGGCAGCCGTGTATAAAACATGTTAGGCTTGTATCAAGGTCCCCTAGGTTGAAATACTGACCCTTTTCCCAGGATGCAACATATGATGGGGAAAGCATGCCCAACCATTTCAGTAATGCACAGGATTATTTGGAATAATCCTGTGGATTCTGTAATCCATAGAATTCTAAACTGTGAATCTAGAACAAACCCAACCATACTACCAGGACCCATACAAGGTATGGTCAAATCTGTAGCGAGTAAGCCTATACTGCTCCATTATATCATCATCTTAATCACATAACTAATTACACAAGCTATAATCCTATCCCTATTTACAGGTAGCAGGTTTTCCACCCTCCTATCTTACTGTGAGGTGTAGTAACCGTATATAAGCCAGCGATTTGAGAATAGCAAAACAGTACAATCTCCAGTCAAGAATGTAGTACTCGGCGTGGGCAGTTTTAATCGACCTAAGACACGCTACAGTTTCGACACAGAGCAGACAGCAGACTACGACCGCATCCAGCTACAATGCTCTCGCTCCCCGAGTTCAGACACTCGCAATTCCCAATCGAGCCGCCACGCTCTCCCGCATAGAGCTCCACGACTCCGGCCTCACTCAGCTCTCTGCTCTGCTCCAGGCTTCGTCTCAACGTCTACGACACTGCTGTATCCAGGACTACTAAATAAATATGAAACTCACTAAACACTGTGTATCTAATCAACCCAACAATGTAACATAATCGTACGTTACAAATCATACATTTGAGGCTCACAGTTTCCTCAAAAGTGAATTGATTTGATGAAAATTATCTGTGATCTCTTGCCATGGAGAGTGTTTACTATTAGGTAAATAGTCTCCGACTACCAACAGCTTTTATATAGTCAGTCATGGTGTACTGGTCACAGTACTCGATATGCCATTGCGAATGGAGAGCCAGGCTATCTACGGTTCTAATCCTTTCACAAGGAAGTGTTTTTTGGTGTGTATGTATATATGTATATATATGTATATATATCTATATATCTATATATATATATATATATATATATATATATATATATATATATATATATATAAAGATATATATATATATATATATATATATATGAGTCCCAGTAGTACAGTCTGGTTCGTTCTCAACGCACAATCGAGAATTCAGGGTTCGAATTCCGTGTGGGACAGAAATAGTTAGGCACATTTCCTTTCCCCTGTTTACCTAACAGCAAGTAGGTACTCAGGAGTTTGTCAGCTTGTTGTGGGGTTGCATCCTGGTCGGGGTCAGTAATTCAACGCTTGGAGGGGGAAGGGGGAAGGGGACCGTGATAAAAAACTAAAATGTATGAATACACTCCAACTTCCTATCTCCCGATACAGTGAACTATATATACATTATATATGTGAGAAAGCTGCAGGAACACGCAAGTCATAGGGTAAAATACAACCGTAGGTCTAGAGAGTATTACTTTTCTGCCAAGGGATATTGTCTCTTCCTTCTTCACTGTAACATTCGGCTGAGGTAAAAATTGTTCTGACATCTTGTAGTGATAACTCCGCCAACATGATGATAAATTTGAATGTATTCTTCGAAACATGCCGACCTGCAGCGTTCTGTTGTGTTGATTTAGGGGGAACCTGCAGCGTTGTTGTTATTGTGATGATGGTGAAGGAGTGGTCGCTTAATTTTAGTACATGGAGCCACGTTTTCTATGGTTAGTAATCGTGACAATTAATAAATAAGTAAATAAATCCTTTTTGTGTAATGAAATTTTAAAATAAAGTTAGATATATATACACACACACACACTAAAAGAATAGGGGTGGTAGGAGAAGAAAATATCAAAGTGTTCAGTGAGAATCTACAAGGTCTTCCCTGAGTACTCTCAAATTCAAAATTCAAAAATTCAAATGTTTATTCAGGTAAGGTACATACATACAAGGTGTGATACAAATATTGATGAATTTATAGATAGAGCTAGTACATACAATGCCTAAAGCCACTATTACGCAAAGCGTTTCGGCAGGAAAAACACTAAAGACTAAAACTTAATACTAATTGAGATTTATTTATTTATTTATTTATTTATATATATACAAGAAGGTACATTGGGTTTGTGAGAATACATTGGATAGTACAGTATTTACACTCTTGTAAAGCCACTAGTACGCGCAGCGTTTCGGGCAGGTCCTTAATCTAACAGATAATTTTAAGTAGGTAATTTCTATCGGAATTGATATATGGTAAAGATACATTGCAAGAGAAAAATGAGATGAGAGAGCTTAGTAAGTATATTAAAGCACATTGTTATATTAAAGCTCTGATTGATTACATTGACAGCATGATTAGTAATTTAAACCTCTGTAACTGCATGTACCTCTCTCAACCAGTTTAAGTTAAAAGCGAAGCTATACCTAATAAATTCCCTGTAACCTACCTTACCCTTCTATTGTCAACCAATGTCTGTTTTTTTCTTTAAAGAGCGCTGTTTGTCGACATAATTGTATTTGTGCTGCTTTTTCATCTATGTTTTCATTTCTTGTTTTCATTCTACTCATTATGCTCAATTAGTATTAAGCTTGTCATTTAAGTTTATCATGCCCGAAACGCTTTGCGTAATAGTGGCTTTAGGCATTGTATGTACTAGCTCTACCTATAAGTCAAACAATCCTTGTAAATATTTATTGTATGTATGTACCTTACCTAAATAAAATTGTATTGTATTGTATTGTAAACAAGATTAATGGACACCATACAGCAGATTGACAGCACATATAAGATTAAAGTATAAAATGTATTAAGAAAATATAAATATAAAAATGGGGGGAACATGGCAGAAAAACAGCAAAAAAATACAATTTGGTCGACAAACAGCATTGTTTATAAATAGTAGACATGGGTTAACATTTTGGGGGTGAGGTAGGTTACAGGGAGTTAATTAGGTAATGCTTAGTTTTTATCTTAAACTGGTTGAGAGAGGTAGTCTTAACATGATTCGGAAGGTCATTCCACATTCTGAGTCCCTTGATTTGTAGAGCATTTCTAGTTTGATTAAGTCGTACTCTTGGAATATCAAAAAGGTATTTGTTTTTGCTGTGGTGCTCATGGGTTCTGTTACAACCTTCAATGAAGCTTTTAAGGTCAGGATTGACATTACAGTTCAGCGTTATATATATATATATATATATATATATATATATATATATATATATATATATATATATATATATATATATATATATATATATATATATATATATTAGTATATTAATAATTCTAACACGAATTTTCTCAATCTTTCGTACATTACGCTTCACTGTTGGAGGTAAATCAAAAATCACTTCTCCAAAATTCATTTTTATTTCTAGTCTGACGCGACACGGGCGCGTTTCGTAAAACTTATTACATTTTCAAAGACTTCACAAATACACAACTGATTAGAACGTATCTCTGATTTTATATCTACATTTGAGTGAGGTGGGAAGGGTGATGTGGCATTAACACAAGACAGAACAGGAGGGGATATTAATAGGGTATTAAAAGTATCAACACAAGACAGAACAGAAACAATGGGTATTGAATAGAAGTGTTTGTAGAAAGCCTATTGGTCCATATTTCTTGATGCTTCTATATTGGAGCGGAGTCTTGAGGTGGGTAGAATATAGTTGTGCAATAATTGGCTGTTGATTGCTGGTGTTGACTTCTTGATGTGTAGTGCCTCGCAAACGTCAAGCCGCCTGCTATCGCTGTATCTATCGATGATTTCTGTGTTGTTTACTAGGATTTCTCTGGCGATGGTTTGGTTATGGGAAGAGATTATATGTTCCTTAATGGAGCCCTGTTGCTTATGCATCGTTAAACGCCTAGAAAGAGATGTTGTTGTCTTGCCTATATACTGGGTTTTTTGGAGCTTACAGTCCCCAAGTGGGCATTTGAAGGCATAGACGACATTAGTCTCTTTTAAAGCGTTCTGCTTTGTGTCTGGAGAGTTTCTCATGAGTAGGTTGGCCGTTTTCTTGGTTTTATAGTAGATCGTCAATTGTATCTTCTGATTTTGTCTGTAGGGATAACGTTTCTATTAACAATATCTTTCAGGACCCTTTCCTCCATTTTATGAGCTGTGGAAAAGAAGTTCCTGTAAAATTTAATAGGGGGTATAGGTGTTGTGTTAGTTGTCTCTTCAGAGGTTGCATGGCGTTTCATCTTCCTTATGATGTCTTCAACGAAACCATTGGAGAAGCCGTTGTTGACTAGGACCTGCCTTACCCTACAGAGTTCTTCATCGACTTGCTCTTCTTAGCAAACAACACAGAAATCATTGATAGTTACAGCGATAGCAGGCGGCTTGACATCTGCGAGGCACTACACATCAAGAAGTCAACACCAGCAATCAACAGTCAATTAATGCACAACTATATTATACCCACTTCAAGACTCCGCTCCAATATAGAAGCATCAAGAAATATGGGCCAATAGGCCCTCTGCAATTACTTCCATTCTTACCTTCAATACC